CTGTCAATCAACTGGTGTACAGATTCCTGAGCCTACTGGGCTCTATCATATCTACACTTGAAACTGTGTATGGAGTCAGCCTCCACCACATCACTGCCTAATGCATTCATTCCATCTGTTAACTACTCTGAGACTGAAAAAGTTCTTTCTAAAGTCCCTGTGGCTCATTTGGGTACTAAGTTTCCACCTGTGTCTCCTTGTTCGTGTTCCGCCCGAGCTAAAGAGTTTGTCTTTGTCCACCCTGACAATTCTCCTGAGAATTTTGTAGGTGGTTATCATGTCTCCCCTTACTCTTGTTTTCCAGCGATGTGATGTTCAGTTCCCTTAGCCTTTCCTCGTAGCTCATACCTCTCAATTCCGGGACTAGTCTGGTCGCATACCTCTGAATCTTCTCTAACTTCGTCTTGTGTTTAACTAAGTATGGACTCCAGGCTGGAGCTGCATACTCCAGAATTGGTCTGACATAAGTGGTATACAGGGTCCTGAACGATTCCTTACACAAGTTTCTACAGGCAGTTTTTATGTTGGCTACCCTAGCATATGCCGCTGATGATATCCTTTTGATGTGGGACAGATTCGGTGTGATATCAACCCCCAGATCATGTGTGTGTGTGTATGTGTGTGTGTGTGTGTGTGTGTGTGTGTGTGTGTGTGTGTGTGTGTGTGTGTGTGTGTGTGTGTGTGTGTGTGTGTGTGTGTGTGTGTGTGCGTACAAACGGAGGTTGGTTACAAACGCTGATGGTTGATGGCTCCATTTTCACCTCCATCGATACTCCTCCATCACGAGTCCATTACTCTGTCTCCACTTACTCCTAGAGTTAGAGGCAACCAAAGAGTGAGAGTGAGGGGGTGAGGGGTGGTGAGGGGGTGCATATAGAGGCATGGAGAGTCTCGTCCTATGGAACTCTCTCCCTGTGTAACTGCGTTGACAGTCAGCTCCGGCCCTGTACACTGTATACACTGTATCCGTCAGTGTAATGTTGTTTTCAGCTTGTATATTGTGAATGTGTTCTATGGTGCTTAATTTAGCAGCAAGCTGAGCATGAGGGTTGTTTGTGATTAGTTTCTTGGTGGGGTATGCAGGGGTCAGGATGTCAAAAGGTACTATCTGCCAGGGTGGAAGGAAGTGCTGTACTCTTTCATCTGTATATACATCGTGCAGTCCCATCATTTTAATATGAGTGGCTGTTCTTTGAATCCATTTAGACTCGCTAGTTCCATTTCGTAGGTGTTCTAACAGTGCAACTGACACAATGTTGTTTTTGTTATCACGCAGAAGCTTTAGTCCCATCATAAGATTAATTTCAAATATTCTATCTCTAATGCTAAGCATATTTAATTCTTTCTGCATGTTGAGAACTTTGGTAGTTATAGGACAGCCAAGTATAATTCTGAGTGCTTCATTTTGCATTTGTGTACCTGTACCCTCCCTTCCGGGGTTGTTCATGTCTGGTACTGGCCGTCTCTCCTGCTATCATTTGCGTTATCCTGGTTCCGTTATCTCGCGTGAATGGGCGCTTATATCACTGGAAATGGTGGCTTAATGAACGATATGACACCACTGAAGCGAGCTATGACAATCATTAAGTCTCCACTGAGTTTGTTGGCTGACGTTTGGGATTCTGTTGTCTGACGTTTTGGGGTAATGTTGTCTAACATTTAGACGTCCTGATGTCTTGAGAGGCATGCTAAATTTTCAGACATACAGGCAGCATCCTTGGGTGACCTCACCCTGAACCCTTTCGTTGGTACTCAGACATGGGTATCTCCAGTAGGCGCTTCGGTGCCATGGACCCATACACGTAGGGTTAGACCCATACACGGAGGGTTGAACCCCTACACGGAGGGATGAACCCATACACGGTAGGATGAATGAAAGGAACAAACTGGAGTGCTTTCGTGACAACCTAACGAAGAAGAGAGAGAGGAAGAAGCGGAGAGAGACATGAATGATGTAATGTCATTAGAGGAGTCCCACGAGGATGAGTGCCAGGCCTCATGCTGTTGTTCATATACGGAAAACACAGCTCAGTAACTAGAGCCCCTCTGTGTAACTGTTCGCAGATGATGATGTAAATCTGATGAGAAGAACCAGGATGAGCAACGACTGTAGACATTTCCAGAGAGAGAGAGAGAGAGAGAGAGAGGGAGAGAGGTCCTGGACGTACACAACACTCACCCCAGGCACACAAGGGACCCACCAAGAGACCCACTAAGAGACCCACCAAGAACATATGCTAAGCTAGCAAATATGAGAACAACCTTCAAGTATCTGAACAATTCAAGAGGCCGTCAAAGCACTGTTTCAAGGAAGGTGGGGGATGTATCTAATGAGAAAATGTTTGGAGAAGGGTGTTGAAATGCGTCTATAATATTTCTTGCAGAAAGGAGAGTTAGAAACCCCCCAGAATTCAAAATACATAGAGGGATATATATGGTATCCAGTGGTCAAGGAAGGAACGGAGATTAATGTCATCCTAGTAACTGACCAGGAGATGGAAAGCCCGGGGCCGGGGCTTGGGAGCTGGTGTTCGACCCTGTAAACACAACTAGCTCATCAGGAAACATGTTGAACGTCAACAACACCAGACAATAATCTTATGTGATAACATACTAAGACATGAGTATCATGTCTTAGTATATATATATATATATATATATATATATATATATATATATATATATATATATATATATATATATATATATATATATATATAATTATCGTAGGTTTGTTTTATACAAGTGCTTGCAGATTCAAGCTTCAGCGTGCGAAGTGACAGTGTGAAACAGGAGTGTGCGAGTATGTAAGAGGACAGTGTGAGAGAGGACAGTTTTTTTTTTTTTTTTTTTTTTTTTTATTATTTTCTACCACAGACGTGGCCACACATTTACAATGCTAACCAGCATATATACATTTTCTTCTGTCCTCCATGGACAGGGTTAGAGAAGTGTTAAACATACAGTTCAAGGGTTTATTGAACACTCAACCACAGAAGGTGATTCGGTGCTTTTAAAATGCTAAGCTAACCTACATACGTAAATACAAAGATACACAGGAGAGGACAGAGGACAGTGTGAGAGGGGACAGTGTGAGAGGAGCACCATGGGCGCGGTGCTTTCCCTGGAACTACTGCGGGCGCGATCAATGGATGAGAGTGTGAGAGTTACGCCCACACAAGGTTCTGTCACTCTCACTCACGTGATGCTCTCTCTCTCTCTCTCTCTCTCTCTCTCTCTCTCTCTCTCTCTCTCTCTCTCTCTCTCTCTCTCTCTCTCTCTCTCTCTCTCTCTCTCTCTCTCTCTCTCTCACATATATCTGTAAAACTCGCAGTCTTCCAGTTGAGCCAGTACCCGGCCCTGTCCTAGTGCGCAATCCCCCAGTCTTCCTCACACTCTGGGCTCTACATCACCTTCCAGTGTATCCTCTTGAGTGCGCTCCTCTGGGAGAGGAAGCCTGCTAGGCTTCCCTAGGTCTCCCCTAGGCTTCCCTAGGTCTTCCCTGGGGCCCTAGCATGGCCCGGCAACTGACCTTCCCCCAAGATGCAGCCGACGACAGTTGCTGAACTCCCTGATACCTATCTGTACTTATTTGGCGTCTCTTTATTATAATTGTTTTCATTTGCACAAAATTCTCGGTGTGGCAACGATTGCATACCTCCGTAGGCAGTTTCAACTTACAAAAACAGTATAATTACTTTCAACAAATCTTCCTAAATTGCATGTTGCTTCAGCCGTTACATCGCTCCGGTACGCAGTCTTGTCTCGAATTCCTGTACCCTTCACAATATTAATTACTCGGGAATGGTGGGGGGGGGGGTGAGGAGGGTTGTACTAGGCTGCGTCTGGGTCTCTCTCCCTGTCTTCCCTCTTTCTCTCGTGTCTCTTTCCTTATTCTCCTCTCTTCTTATCTCCCACCGTCTACTTCCCTCTCCAACTTTCTACCCCAAGTTTCCTCCTCTCACCCCTTCTCCTTCACCCTTCTCATTGCAATTAGGTAGTCGAATACCTAGGTTACAAGGTGTTGAACGAGAGAGGTTGCAGTAGGAGCTCTGGGGGGTGCTCTAGAATAGTTAGCTAACTGAGGGTGGGATAACGGACTAAAGAGAGCTGTTTCCCCCACCCCCCGTTACAAGAGAGAGAGAGAGAGAGAGAGAGAGAGAGAGACATAGAGAGACATAAACAGAGGCAGAAAGAGAGAGACAAAGAGACCCAGAGGGACAGAATTGACCTGGGTACCGGATCAATCCGCTCACCGGATCTACCCGGGCACTGCCGGGTACCCCATCTAGTACACAGTAACGACACAACAAACGGAAACAAAAACAGTCATGCACTACGACAATAGCAAAGATACTGACAGCCACGGGGACAATCAGACACGACAACACACACAGTCACAACCAGTCACTGAGACAGTTAGATAACATACAACGAGCCCTTGGGATAGTTAGAAGGCAGCACAACACAACCAGCAACTGAGTCAAGGATTCAACAACAAAATCCAGGACAACAGTGCACACAATGAACAGCTAAACATAGCTGCATGAAGCAAGCTACTGACAAAGGCGCAGCCAGAGACACAGAGAGGCGCAATTAAGGGACAGACAAAGCGACACACAAAGACGAAAGAGAGAGAGAGAGAGAGAGAGAGAGAGAGAGAGAGAGAGAGAGAGAGAGAGAGAGAGAGAGAGAGAGAGAGAGAGAGAGAGAGAGAGAGAGAGAGAGAGAGAGAGAGAGAGAGAGAGAGAGAGAGAGAGAGAGAGAGAGAGAGAGAGAGAGAGAGAGAGAGAGAGAGAGAGAGAGAGAGAGAGAGAGAGAGAGAGAGAGAGAGAGAGATTTTTAGTGGAGATGGTGGTAGACTAAACATATCCTGCTTCAGGGCGGATGTGGCCTCTTGGCTGCCACCTCGCTCCGGCAGAGCTCAGGTTTCTTTATCTAAAACTACCAGAAATGCTCTCAAAATGTGAGTCCGAATTCTGAATATCGCTAGGAACACTACCCCGAGAAATTCACTGCAGCGAAACGGACTTTCATTCTCAAATATCGCCAGGGACACAGGGCGTTGTAGAGGGCTGATTGTTGGTAGCTTAGCAGAAGCCGTCCTGAAGGTGACCAGCAACAGTGCGGTAGAAATAGTGTCAAACTGATCCATTACAGTGTAGTGCAGTTAACTGTGGAAGTAACAGACTGAACAGTAACTGGGTAATACCAGACTGGGGGAAAACTATCAGGGTAAGCATCAGGTCGGAACATAAAAAAGTAAGTTATATAATAAAAGATTGTTATAGATATTAAATAATAAAACGTTGAATCATAATAAATGTTCCTAAAAAGCCCTGGGGCCAGATTCACGAAAGCACTTACGAACGTGTACATCTTTCCACAATCTTTGACGACTTTGGTTACATTTATTAAACAGTTTACAAGCATGAACACTACCCAATCAACTGTTGTTATTGTTATAAACAGCCTCCTGGTGCTTCGGAGCTCATTAACTGTTTAATAATTGTAAACAAAGCCGCCAAAGATTGAGAAAAGATGGATAGGTTCGTAAGTGCTTTCGTGAATCTGGCCCCTGAAGTTTTTATATTTCTACCCTCAACATTTTTTTCCGCTAGGCTCCCAGAGCGGTTGTTGTGTGTGTACAATTCTCTTCACACACCCGCAATACTCCCCTGGACACTAGGAACTGATATTCCCACTATGGGCACCTGTACCCCCCCGTCCCTGGTACATGACATTGGTGAGGCTTGGCCAAGACAACTGGCTAGTCTTGATGAAGACAACTAGGGAGGCTTGGCTAAGACAATTGGCTAGGCTTGGTCAAAACAACTGGGGAGGCTTGGCCAAGCCAAATGGCTAGGCTTGGTCAAAACAACTGGGGAGGCTTGGCCAAGCCAAATGGCTAGTCTTGATGAAGACAACTGTGGAGGCTTGGACAAGACAAATGGCTAGTCTTGATGAAGACAACTGGGGAGGCTTGGCCAAGTCAATTGGCTAGGCTTGGTCAAGACAACTGCGGAGGCTTGGCCAAGACAGCTGGCTAGGCTTGGTCAAAACAAGTGGCGAGACTCGGCCAAGACAACTGGGAAACACTAAACAGAACATTTCCTTGCCTAGTAATGAATAACAACCAGTGAGCCACCAGGTTCACTGGTATAAAACCACTGTACTCGGTGAAAATAATTGCATGAAATAATTAAATTAAATTACAAGATGTACATTTCATAGTTCTAAACATTATATGGTTCAATAGACCAGAAAATAAACCATATAACTAGATAAATGGAAATTATGTTTCCTGAGAACACGGAACAAAGACACAAAAGCACACAGTATCTCACACAAACTCATTCTCTGGTTCAACTATTGAGTCAGACTTTTGCCTCGCGGAGAATAATGTTGAGGAAGTAATTAGACCTTCGTAAAAACTTTCTCAAGAGTTCACCTTTTCCTCATTTGTTTTAAACTTGTGAGATTAAGTGCAGGATGCGGCATAAACCAGCTTCCCGAGTTCCTTGGCGACACAGGAAGAGGTTATGACGTTATCACCTGCAGCAGCAGGTGTTGTATATGTGCATTTAATTTTTGTATTTACTATTTATGCCTGCAGGATCGAGCTGTTAGCTCTTGGACCCCGCCTTTCTAACCGTCAGTTGTCTAATGTATTAACTTATGTTTACAGGTACTTTACAGCTTTAAAGCTCATTACTTTAGCTTTACTCTTTACTTTACTTTACTTTACACAGCTTTACTCTCTTACTTTTTCGTTAAGTTAGGTTAGGTTAGGATCAGTTAGGCTAGAATAGGTGTGTTTAAAGAGAAGCCGTTTTTTTTATTATTATTATTTTCTACCACAGACGTGGCCACACATTTACAATGCTAACCAGCATATATACGTTTTTCTTCTGTCCTCCATGGACAGGGTGAGAGATTTGTCAAACATACAGTTCAGAGATTTATTGGACAATCAAACTGATTACTGAGCTCAGGAGTTAGTCAGCTTGCTGTGGGGTTGCATCCTAGGTGGTGGTCAGTGAATATAAGCCTAAATGTGAACGAATACACTCTGTATGCCTGTCTCCCGACACAATAAATTATTAATTATTAATTATTATTATTATTATTATTATTATTATTATTATTATTATTATTATTATTATTATTATTATTATTATTATTATTATTGTTATTATTTATTATAGGGTCAGTGGCTAGGGAGCGCCCTGCCAGAGGCACAAGTTCCGCCGGCGTCGCTCGCAGCTCTCATTCTCACAAAATATATCCCTTTTCACGTAACTGAATTCGAAGCGCAAGAGAAAGCATGTGCATTGGCATTGCTAGGGCTTACCAATAGCGTCTCCTGGCTTAGCGGACTGGGTTCCACAGACTCTTGCGTCAACGAGTTAAGTAAAATACAAGAGCAATTTTCTGTGATTCAAAGCCAGCTCGTCAAACACTTGGAAACCCAGCATGTAAAATAGATAGAATATTGTAACATCCATTATGAATAACATAACTGATACACGGAGGAAGACTTTCAGAATCTCTTATATATGGGTACAGTCCCACATGATGATGCAGACAAAGCATCTAAAGCTGCAAGTGATAAACCTGAAATTTAGTTAGACATAGGTATTCCAATCCTTTGTCATAACCGCACTATTTCATGAAAGAAAGGATGATAGAAGTGCAATCACCGATACATAAAAGATGGAAAGCACGAGTATAAAGAGTTATGATATGTTTATAAACGAATATTATATATACGGACAGCACAAAACACTCCTGAGACAGTGGAACATTATAATTGCCAGAATTTGATTGGGATACGCTGTTTGTCGACCTAATTGTATATGTGCTGCTTTTTCTGCCATGTTCCCCCCTTCTTTTATTTGTAATTGTTCTCAACACATTTTATACTTTAATCTCAATTAGTATTAAGTTTTAGTCTTTAATGTCTTTCCTGCCCGAAACGCTTTGCGTAATAGTGGCTTTAGGCATTGTATGTACTAGCTCTATCTATAAATCTATCAATTTTTGTAAAACCTCTTGTATGTATGTACCTTACCTGAATAAACATTTATTTATTTATTATTTATTTATATCGATACTAACGGCAGGTGGCTGCAGGTAACAAATGAAGTGAATGCTTCAACTGTAAACTATGTGAACATTACGGGCTATTCATGCCCGTGCCACCTTTTGGGTGGCTTAATCTTTATCAATCAATCTATGTGAACAAGAGCCGGGACAGGCTCTCCAACACCATACTTGTGAGTGCCCTATTGTCAGTTACTTCTGGCCAAATGATACGAGGTAGTTTGGGCTTTGCAGCTAATTCATACACTCACGAATATTGGAAGATATTCTTGTGCTTTACTCAGAGTTCACACGTCCAGCAGTTCGCTAGGCTAGTTGACTAAATTTGTATCTCACGCTCTCTCCTGATTCCATGTATGACTAACCAACCTGTGAGATGGGGATATTAGGTGAAATAGTTAGATTTACATCTATACTCAATAATCATTCATATATAATAGGATAGCAGCACATTGCTGCGTGTACCTAAGTTTCTTAATACAATTTTTGTAAAGGCTTACAAAAGGGCCGGGGAAAGTGGCGGTTATTGCTTCAAGGAAAGTGCGTATATACACCCTTGATCTCTATAAAATTGGAATCGTGTCGAACAGAATTTGTATTGCCACATTGCAGTTTCTGACATAGTTAAGCCTTTTTTATTAGTCGTTTATTCTAGACTTGCGTTTTATTACTTTTTGGAATGCTAGTGCTGAAGGCATTGTTCTTTTAGTAGCTCAGGCATGGTCAGTGGCTTTGTTAATCCTTATTCGTGTGTCTTTATGGCCTTAAATGTGTATAATTGTTATTGACAATCTTAAACACAGAGCAGTGTGCTGCTTCCCTATTCTTCATGAAGGATTACAGAGTATATATCAAAAGTTAACAATGTCACACTGTCTCGTGGATGTTTTGTGTTGTCCGTACATGTAATATTTCGGTTTTAAACATATCATAACTCTTTATACTCGTGCTTTCTGCCTTTAAGTGTCAGTGATTGCACGTCTGTCATCCCTTGTTTCCCAAAATAATGCGGTTTTGACAAGAGATTAGAATACTTAGGTCTAGCTCAATTTCAAGTTTATCACTTGCAGCTTTAGCTGCCTTGTTTATATCATGCTAGACAACATCTATGGAGATAGTATCTATATATATATGAGATTCTGAAAGTCTTGCTCCGTGTATCAGTTATGTTATTTATAATGGATGTTACAATAATCCTGGTATCTATTTTCCATGTTGGGTTTTCAAGGACTTGACTTTGAATCACAGAAAGTTACTCCAGTATTTTTCAGTGTATGTGTAGCTAGTTGTACTGTATCGTATTCTGTATGTATAGAGCTAAGACAGTTATTTGGTCCAACACTAGCAGTCTGTGTACATATGTTGTACACATTGTTATACCATCTTGCCAGTTCCGCATTTATGGTTCCCTTGCTCACCGCTATGGCCTTTTCGTGGGGAGTGAGAGTGAGAATATCTATATACTCGGCTCATAGCCGTGCTACATCACGTCTACTTGATGTAGCACGCTCCTCGTGCCAGGTAAGTTACGGGCTCACCATAGCCCGTGCTACTTGGAACTTGTTACGAGTAGCTGAATCTATAACAACAACAACAACAACGTGCTACATGGACACTTCGTTCTGAGTAGCTAAATCTAAAACAACAATCTATATACAGTACTTTCCTCCACAACAGCAAACGGTCCAGTGTTACATATACGTCTCATAATTAAAAGGTTGATAGGCTCGATCTGTGTTCCATAATAAATTAAGATAAAAAAAAGTAACTGCCAATACCTGATGATTTAACGGCTACAAAAGCTATTGTGAATATTAAAATACTATAGAACAATACCAATTGGTATATTGGGGATTTTTAACTGTAAAAAGATGTGACGACTTATATTGAATTTTGTAACTAGCTCATCAAGATTGTAACTTGCTTAGCTAAATGAATTGTGGGGTTCAGTCCCTGAGCCCATTATGTGCCTCTGTAACCCTTTCCACTACCGCCCACAAGATGGGCATGGGGTGCATAATAAATTAACTAAACTAACTAATTGAACAATTACGTCGGAACAATTAAGTTTTTAGTTAGTTTAGTTCAGTTATTATGCACCCCATACCCAGAGGCACGTAATGGGCTCA